CCCCTCCCCCATCCCCCGCCATGGGAAAAGAACTGAAACAAAAAGCAATTGCAAACACAAGCAGAAAAAACTGGTGATATTGTCATCTGCCCTACCTTGGAAGGACACTGTATGTTAAAAGGATAACAAAGTATTAGGAAACATCAACAAAAAACACCTGAAGTGATGTGAAAAGCCATCACATGGAAGCAACAGGAGTTTTGAGGATCCGCAGTTACTTGGCCTTAAAACACCAACTGATCTCTTTGCATTTCAACTTTGTCAGGCCCCAGGGTCTAAAAAGTGACAAAGGAGGCACTTTAGGTAGGTGTGCGGCTATCAAATGCCCTTAATGTAAAAACACCTGGCTGGTAGGCAGGACCCAAGCTAGGGAACAGAAAAACAGCGACTTGCTCATTGCCCCAGGAGCAAGTGGTAGGAACAATAGCCGAAATTACAGGGACATAGCCTGACATTTGCGTTGCAGATGTTGGCTGGGCACTGTGCATATGAAGCAATCCTGCCATAGAGCTGTCACAATCCATTTCCAAGCCAGGATGGACCAGCATTTTAGCCTATTCATGTTGACAGACCTACATTTAAATAACGCCAAGCATGACAAAAGCCAGGAAATTCAAAGTTAAAGCTACTTCTCAGGTCTTAAGCTCGTCTATTAGGGAGAAAACTGCCAAATGAAGCAAACAATGGAAGGAGCAGTCCTTGCTTTGAGTCATATATACTTAGAGGAATGATCTCATTGAAGTTAATAGGGCTGTCTGCATGAGTAAATGCTGTTCACTGGGAGTAAAGCAGTTTCCATGTGTTCTCTGACTTACTCAGCTTTTATGAGCACACTTCATGTCTTTTCCCTAACTAGATTGTTTCCTTACTTGTGGATTTCTCTTTTTTCCTGGCTAGCCTTTGGACACTAGCAGGGCTTCCAGCCAGCAGCTGGCTTTCCTTGGAGAAACCCTCGTGTACGGCGAAGTCCCTTCTGGGGAGAAAAGAAAACCAGAGCAAGAAAAGGAGAGTCGGGCATATGGCCAGGGGCACGTAGCCAGGGGGATTCCAGCAAGACTCGGCCACACGTCAGGCTGGTGACTGTCCCTCTGCACGGCGACATCGGCCCGCTGCAGGATCAGGCCGCCTCCCTCCTCCGAGCGGCAGGGACCAGGACAGCTTGGGGAAGCCCTGCAGAGGACCGGCAAATGGTTTTCCTTGCTCGTGGATGAGAGTGAACTCACGGGTCTCCTTTTCTTTTGCCATGCATAGCTATTATGAAAAAAAAATAATTTCCTTAACTTTCTTCTCTTGTGCCTAGCCTGCAATCTTTAAGTTTTACTTTGAAACAATCAAAACAAAACAAACCAGCAGAAAGTGTGCAAGCATTGCGTAATTTGCCAGAACTGGCTGAATTTGCAGAGACTCTGGTCCTAAGCAGCAAGGTTACTGCAGATTTCAGGTCAACCTTTGTTTGCAGACTAGCCCAGAGGAGTATAATGTATGTGCAAGACAGTTATAATGACATGTCTTGTCAGAGCCTTGGTTTTCTATTTTAGTTTTTACTTGATTGGCCTGATTTGTCTCACCACAAAACCCACATTACACCTGACTTGTGGTGAATCAGGTCCACTGTTTGCTTCCGATGGTTATCTTTGCATTGAAGCCACATTACAACCCCATGTGAAAGAGAAACATTTCTGAAGGGGAAGCAAAATGAAGTCCTCTGGTTCTTCCAGAAACGTTGATGCCCCATGGGAAATAAAAATTACAGCAAAAAACCCAGCAAAAGCCAGGCTGAGGCTGTGGGTGTATGTCCTGTGTCCATTGCAGCTGGGAAAAAAAAGGTTGTCAGAGGCTGCTCGCTAACAGCACTGTGCAGGGAGCCAGGCCTGTTGATGCTAATTCTGTGTATAATTGGTTGCTCCAGAGGCCTGAGCCAAAAGTCACCAGCATCAGCAGTGAGGCTCTGACTATACAAAATTTTTCAGGGCAGAGGTAGAAGCAGAGAGGAAAAAAAAAAAAAGTAAACGATTTCACCTTAAGCCTGATCAAAAGCGTCAATCTGTTCTCACAAGGTGTTTAGCCTCACATCTCTAACATTTTTTTTTTTTTTAAATGAGAGCCCTCGAGTTTGTAGCCAACATCCCAGTAACAGCAAAATACATGGAAACCGTATCAAGTGTCCTAGCTTAAAGTGTGAGTGGTATTCATCTGACTGTTACACATGCTGCGGCTTTATTGGAAAATGATTTTAGATAAAACCAGAATATACTATACAATAAATAATTCATGGCGGAAGCAGAGCCACATTTCTCTCTATATTGGCATTTCATCGTGCAGCTACTGAACCACAGCTTGTTTTTATACACAGCAGCAGACTCCATTTCCCAGCTAGAAACATTCAATCCCATCTGGTAGATTCATTCCCAGCTAGATAATACCCAACGTATCTATGTAACATACAAGCTACTGTCAAACAGCAGCGAGCCGTCTCCCTGAGACAGCTGTTTCACACAAGGGCCGCATTGTCTGGAGGAAGCACGGATCATTTTACGCGGAGAGCCGGGGGGACGAACCCTCTGTCAGCTGCCATGGCATCGAGAAAACCTCGCTCATCACACGTTCTCGTTATTTTGTTATCTGGCCAAACACACACTGGGGATGTCAGGTTGAAAACAAAGGATGCATTCCCTGCTCTGGTTATATTTCATTAGGAAAACCAAAGCAAACACACCTCTTCTGCTCCTTCCCTCCCTCTCTTCAAAGCTTTTGTTTCTGGCGCTGCTGAGTGGGCAGAGCTGCCCTGGCCATATGCTTTTCCTTGGCACCAGGTAGAGCGGGGCGTGCTGCACTGCAGCAGAAAGCCCCGCGTAGCCTCTGTGGGAGGCAGCTGCCATGAGCTGGAGTGGCTGACAGCATCACACCAAAATCAATACCTCACCACTGACCACAACACCCAGGTGACCCCTTTCCTCATCCCGTTTCCAGTGATCACAAGAAGTGCCAGTCAGAAAAATGAAGAGGAGGAATAATCCACAAGACACATGCTGTCTGTGCTATAAGGAAGCATTGGGATTCTCCAGCCTAACCACTCCTTTATCTTCCCTATAACTGACTTCTCCCACTGACTGCACAAAGAGCCCTTTAAAACTACCATATATCAAAGATGCGAAGACACAGAAAATTCTGTACACAGATATACACGTTCTGCATGTATGAGTCTTGTAAAATTCACTCTGTGTTCTTTTTCCAAGGTGAATAACTACTTTGGTACACAAATATTATTAAGAGTTCATAGAATCATAGAATCACAGAATGGTTTGGGTTGGAAGGGACCTTTAAAGATCATCTAGTTCCAATGCCCTGCCATGGGCAGGGACACCTTCCACCAGAGCAGGCTGCTCAAAGCCCCATCCAACCTGGCCTTGAACACTGCCAGGGAGGGGGCAGCCACAGCTTCTCTGGGCAACATGTTCCAGGGTCTTACCACCCTCATCGCAGGCAGTGTCTTCCTTACGTCCAGTCTAAGTTGTGGCAAAGAGAAAGCAAGTGGGTTTTGTGGCTTGGACTTACAAATATTGTGCATTTCCTGTTTGTTATGTGTTCACATTTCTTTTTCAATTTAATATCTCTTAGTTCATGGGGTTCATTTCTTGCATACTCACAAGAGAAAACCTTTGTATTCTGATATATGTTCCAATATATTTTTGAATGTATTGATGATGTAAATGAAAAATCTTGGCTTGTGTCAGAAGTAGCGTGGCCAGCAGGGACAGGGAAGGGATCTGACCCCTGTACTTGGCACTGGTGAGGCCGCACCTCGATTCCTGTGTTCAGTTTTGGGCCCCTCACTACAAAAAGGACATTGAATGACTCGAGCGTGTCCAGAGAAGGGCAACGGAGCTGGTGCAGGGTCTGGAGCACAGGTCGTACGGGGAGCGGCTGAGGGAACTGGGGGGGTTTAGTCTGGAGAAGAGGAGGCTGAGGGGAGACCTCATCGCCCTCTACAGCTACCTGAGAGGAGGTTGCAGAGAGCTGGGGATGAGTCTCTTTAACCAAGTAACAAGCGTCAGGACAAGAGGAAATGGCCTCAAGTTGCACCAGGGGAGGTTTAGACTAGATATTAGGAAGCATTTCTTTACAGAATGGGTTGTTGGGCGTTGGAATGGGCTGCCCAGGGAGGTGGTGGAGTCCCCATCCCTGGAGGTGTTTAAGAGTAAGGTTGACATAGCACTGAGAGATATGGTGTAGTTGGGAACTGTCAGTGCTAGGTTAAAGGTTGGACTAGATGATCTTCAAGGTCATTTCCAACCTAGGTGATTCTGTGAAATATTCTAAAACTTGGGGAAGCTGGACCTGCTTTGAAGGCTAATCCTTCTATATTTTTCCCCCAGGAGAAATTGTTAGCCTATTGTATAACAGAAATTTTGTAGAAAACCTTGACATAGCTTAATGTTAAGGTTATCTCACACTTTCCATTAGAAGTCAATTTCCAGTTGCTTACAATAGTGTCCAACTTCAACTATTTAGATAATACTTCTCTATGGTTATTTCTTTCATTGGGTCGAATGGAAAGTTCCAGCTGAAACAGCTTATGCATTTCTAAGGATTTTTAAAAATAATTTTTTTTTGCCAGTGTTAATTCCTTTCCTTCCATAAATCAAGACCTTGACATCTCAAAATAATTCTGGCATCTCCCTTCTTGAGAGGAAGGATTAGAAATTTGGAATTTCTAGCTCCTGGAGCTGGAGAAGTATTCCTAGCTTTGGTTGGAACTAATTTTGTGGTTGGAAAAGTGTTATTTGTATATCATAGGAAAATACGCTTAGATGTGTCTAAATTATACAATACTGAACTCTATATATGCAGCTGCTCCTTAGTGTTTTCTGGAAGATACCTGCTAGAATTTGAAAAAGCATCATTCACAAGGATCATGCTCCTAAATTCACAGGTTTACCTATGTCCAAAAGTTGATAGCTGTCAATAATACTGCTCCTTGTAATTGAAGTAAATGGAAAAAACTTATATTTTCACCAGGAGAAAAAGTTCTGGATGGGGAGGCATATGTTCAGCTCTTCTGTCCTAATAAGAGTTAATGAATAAGACATGAGCTACCCACCCTTGTTACTAATGAAGGCTTACAAGACGTTCCCGTTACCATACAGGTAGGGTAATACTTCTGGCAGCAGTTACAACTGAGAGGTAGTTTGCACATGTGTGTTTTTTATGACAAAATATGGAGAGCTTGTTTTACTGGGAAGATCAAAGATGAGTAAGAACTGCAAGGGAGATGAAGGGAGGCTGGAGAGGGGAAGAGAGGGAGAACAACTTGGAAGCACAACTGAAATCTCTTTCAGTTGGGGGAAACACCTGAAGATTCTGATGCCAATCACCATCTAAAAAGGCAACTAAAATATGAGTTTAATGAAAAGGAACTAGAATCTTCAATTATTTTCCAAGGTTATGAGAAGCGATTTCAAATGGAAGAGTTAAGAAACATTAATACTACAAGACCCGTAACCACAATCTCCTAATTATCCATTGAACTATGCAATCCCAAAAGCTAATACCTCTGGAGTTTCAGAAGTGCTGAGTATTTGCATTCCCTGTCAACTTTAATAAGGATTATTATATACGTACATAGATTCCTTTTGAGAATCATGACCATAGCTTCATTAGCTAAATAAGAAAGGGCATGATACAGAATTCACAGGAGTAAATTTGACCTATATTAAATACTTTTTTGTAATTGCAATATTATTGTACATAGTTACTTACTGTCCTCAGGTAGGTTGTTTTCCCGTTCTTCTCTCTCCATCTGTTGGCACCAGCCTTCCATACGATCTCTCTCTGCCTGAAGTAGCTTCAGAAACCAGTGGCCATCTCGTGGGCACACTGACCTTTGAACAGCTTCCAGAGGATCTTCGGTGATAGAGTCAATCCAGGGGTCAGGAGGAGGTAAAATTGATGGATCAAAATCTGTATCAAAGTCATCATCCACGGCACATGCATGGTAATGGTTTCCTGACCCTTGTATGCTAACAGTAGAAGTGCTTGCATCTCGAGAAAATTGTCTTGATATTTGTCCAGAACATGTATTGTCCTCTTGAGGGTTGATTATTTCAAAGTTCTCATGGAAATCCAGGTCTGCTTGCACGGCTGTTGTTACACTATTAGATCGTGTAAACCTGCGAAAGCTTTGGAGAGCACAAACATAAGATGTTTAGCAAGCTTTTTCTAGCTAACTCGGTAAGAAATGACTTATTCAGATTCTGTCACTCCTCCTAAGACTGTCAGTCACAGTTCAAAGTGCTACACTCAGATGATTTTTCTTGAAATTATCAGCATAAACTTACTTTTTAATTGCAAGCCAACAACCAAGTATCGCTCTTTTTTCCATGCAAGCTCACTGTGCATTGAGGCAAGTACCTGTAATTGTGTGGGTTAACAGAGGCTAGTCCAAGAGACAGCTAATAGTGTCAGTAGTTTAGGATTTTAGGTTACCAATTAATCCAAACTTAAAGGGGCCCAATTTTAAGAAGTGCCTTATCTTTCAACTTTAAAAATTCACACTCCTTTGAAATTACACATCCACTCACAAACCACATTTAAAAATCATACATGTGAGATCGATAAGATAGTAATACCAATGAGTCCACTACTATCTATGTAACATTATATGTTCCATTTATAAAGAAGGTATTTTTTATATAAGCATAAAAATGTGTTTTGTATTGCTTCTTCATAATTACTGTTCATAATTAAGTACCTGCTAATACCACCGTCATCTTTCACAATTTTAGCCCATTCCCAGTGTTCAGACATTTGATTTTTCACATTCCACCTTCAGTTTCAAAATGCTGTTCTCTTTTTCACCAAAACTAGCATTCTCAGTTGCTGTCTATGTCACCCTTATTGTGATGGCTGCTACCCTGTCGGTAGCCTCCTTTCACCTTGCATAGCTTCTCTGTGTTGGAGCTTCTGAGGGCAGAGAGCAAACCCTGAGGGTAAAGGCAAAAGCAGGGGAAAGAGGAGGTTCAGGGCTTTAGGTTGGGGTGGGTTTTCTTTATGTAAACATCACTCCAAATTCTGCAGTCCAAGGCAGCTGAGGTGAAGAGGCTGATATAGAAGAAGGGGAGGGAAGTGTAAGGAGTAAGAGACACATAATGCTGTTGCAGAGGGTGGTTGTGAGAGCAGATAAAATAAACAGTAAATTGTGGAGGGAATGAGTGGAAAATCTGCAGGCAAATAATTACAGTCAGGGTAGCTCTAGAAACTGACACACTGAGGAACACAGGAAAACAAGCAAAGCAGACATTTGTCTTTCCCTATGATGATAAAGAAGGTATAAAGTAATTAATGTAGATATTACTTAAATTAATAATATTTAGGCTTCAGAATTAACATAGTTTTGAACTAAATAGGGACATATTCCCACCCCTTCTTCTCATTCATAATACCTTTGCAATCATGTAGCTGGTAGTTCGCTTCTAATTTCTTCACAATCTCACATTTACACTTGAAACTAGTGTTAGGACCCATCTTCTGCTTGTTTTACCCTTAGCAGTTCTGTTTTTAGTTAGGGCTCAAGCAGGGATGAAAATGCTAAAGAGACAGTGGAGCTGGATGCTGGGCACCGTTTCACTCCCTTTCATTTATATTCCACCTTCCACTGAAGAGCAATAGCCAATTAGACAAGCTCAACTGACAGCAGAAGCGTTGTTCATTGAGTGTATTTAGTGTGCAGTTAGGGAGGGAGAAGATAGAAGGATGCTGAGGGAGAATTTAATGTCCTATGTAGCTGATGCATCCATATACCTCAGGAGGAGTGCAGATTTGAAGGAGGACCGTACCAGGTCCTGCCGATAGCAGAAATTAGTGGCTGTTGATGTGGGGCTTTGAGAGGAGTAGAGCAAAGCAAAACAGGAGTTGAAAAGCATTCTCCGGTTTTAAAAAAAAGGGCAATTCCTCTGCAGAAGAAAGCTCAAATTAACTTCTCAGCCACACCAATCCCTGGAAAACTTTAATAATACATTTTAATGTAGCACCTGCCACTTGCAGTTCTTTTGAAACAAGTGTTGTTAAATGATGCAAAAGTCACAGTTATGCCACTGCAGTTTTACATGATATGCACCAGCAAACTGAAAAATATGGAGTGAGTAGAACTCTTCAGCTCAGCTCGGTAGTAGTTATCCTTTGACATGCAGAGCAAAGCATTTCGTTATGGATTGATACATCAGAAAGAGTTCAAAAAGGAGGACAAAGATCATTGGAGATATGGTATGGCTTCCACTGGGGGAAAGACATTTCTTGGTTTAGAAAATAGATGGCTGAGGGGGGATTATGACAGACCTATGAAATCCTGACAAGGTTATGTTTCACCATTTCTCAGAGTGCAAGAACTGTGGGGAGGAAGGCAGCCAGTTGTAAGGCCTAGAGGTCTAAAGATTTACATCTAGTGAGAGGAAGTATTTCTTCACACAATGTGTAATTAAATTGCCACAGAATCCTGGGAAAACCAAAGGTAAAAATAGGTTCAAAGAGAACCTGATCAAACTCACAGGAGATAGGTCCAGGAAGAGCTATTACACAGATGTCGTATCGGTTTAGGAAGTCCCTGAACAACAGACTGCTAAATTGGGAACGTCTACCGGGAGAAGTAGTGCTTCATACACACCCTTTATACTTTTCCTTTACACACACTCCTTTATACTTTCCTTAAGTATCTACTATTTGTCCCTGGCAGAGAAAAGCTGTTGGTTGCTATTAGCGGCTAGAAAGACGTTAGCTTTAGGCTGACATTACAATGAAAATCTTTTGGTCCAATCTATGCTACTTTAAAATAAAATTGCCTTAATTTGGCCACCAACCTGACAAATGCATACACACACACACACACACACACATACAAAAACCCAAAAAACATGTGTGCCCACACAGGCACATGCTCACACAGGATTTCTTTTCAGTCATTTAGTCAGGGTTCACGGAGAGCCAAGGCATTAGCACCCAGCATACTCTTCCACACCTTCCATGGTACTGGAGAGAAAAGAAAATGCCTTAATTCAGGCTCATTCTTCTCCACACCCCTACCTCCACATCACAGCCACCTTCTGCTTTCCCCAGTGCTCTACACTGATATCCTTCTGTTTCAGATGACCATTTGTATTTTCAGTGTACACCCTGGCTTTTCAGTGTACACTAAATCCCAAATATGAAAACATCGAGGTCTGCTTGCCAAGAGGATGTACTGCTGGAGGCACTACATTTCAAAGGTTTCAGGAGTCTACTCTTACTGGGTTCAATATGAGCTAGTGCCACCAAAACCAGACTCTGCTCAACAAATAAAATAGAATGACCTACTTTTTTTGCCTTTGTTTTATCTATATAATAGTATGCTACAGGCTTGCTTGACAGATTTTTGGCACTGGACTGTGTAACCTATCTGTCTTCAAAAGAAAAACAACTTGGCAATAGAATATAGCATCAGTTCAAAATTTAAAAAATACTCCCAAAGAAATGTATGTTGAATAAAATGGAAATGCAGGAAGGCACCCACTATCTGCCTGCTTCCAGCACATCTAAATAAAATGCCTAATAGATGGTAATTTTAGTCTCTGACATAGCTTCCTCACTCACTTCCAGGATGTTTTACCATGTGTCCCACATGAGCCTTTTTTGTTTTGCTCTCAGTTAAAACTCCATACCACAGGAGAGCTGCTGAAGCTAATGCCTAAGTTTTCACTTCTTCTACACATACAAAACATTCACAGGTCTACCTAAAAAAAAGTTTTCAGAAATTGCTGGTAATCGTTAAAAACAGAGATTTGCTTCTTCCTCTGCTTTCAGGCTTGGCCCTTTTGTACATAGTAGCGCCCTGCAGGTACAAGGTGTAATAATTACAGCTTCAGAGAACTGCAGCAGATATCTGGCCTAAGGTGCAGAAAGCCATGAAACCTCAGACTGGATAAACCAGTATGGAGAACAAAAACACAACAGTGTTTTGAACAGCAACAACGGGGTCACTTGTTACCATTCAGCTCTCCCTTCTAAGTCTTCTTTTGCTTTCTTTTGAAAAACATGTTTACATTTCAACTCAGAGAACTGCTTTCTTTCATGAAAAAAAACAAAACCTCAGAAAAGACCTAGGTTTCAAACCAACTGATACATGGTGAGTCTCAGAGAAACGTACGTTACAGAATCACAGAATCGTCTAGGTTGGAAAAGACCTTGAAGATCATCTAGTCCAAACATTAATTAACCTGGCAGTTCCCAACTACACCATGTCCCTCGGTGCTATGTCGACCTGACTGTTAAACACCTCCAGGGATGGGGACTCCACCACCTCCCTGGGCAGCCCATTCCAATGCCTAACAACCCGTTCTGTAAAGAAATGCTTCCTAATATCTAGTCTAAACCTCCCCTGGTGCAACTTGAAGCCATTACCTCTTCTCCTACCACTTGTTACCTGGTTAAAGAGACTCATCCCCAGCTCTCTGCAACCTCCTCTCAGGTAGCTGTAGAGGGCGATGAGGTCTCCCCTCAGCCTCCTCTTCTCCAGACCAAACACCCCCAGTTCCCTCAGCCGCTCCCCGTACGACCTGTGCTCCAGACCCTGCACCAGCTTCGTTGCCCTTCTTTGGCCACGCTCAAGTAACTCAATGTCCTTTCTGTAGTGAGGGGCCCAAAACTGAACACAGGAATCAAGGTGTGGCCTCACCAGTGCTGAGTACAGGGGTCAGATCACTTCCCTGTCCCTGCTGGCCATGCTATTAAATTCAGCCTGTCTCACTGTAGCCATTGGCTGTACTGTCTCAGTTGTGGGCTTGTCTTCAGGCAGCCCCTGTCAGCAGAACAAAACTAACTGCAGAAGGAGTTAGCAGATATGGTACCCGAGCCTTAGCAGGGAAACTCTAATCCTTTATTACAATGTTAGAATAGACTACTTCGGTCAGAAGGGACCTACAACGATCTTTTAGTCCAACTTTCTGACTATTTCAGGGCTGACCAAAAGTTAAAGAATGTTAAGGGCATCACCCAAAAGCCTCTTAAACACTGACAGTCTTGGGCAATCGACCATCTCTCTAGGAAGCCTGTCCCAGTGTTTGACCACCTCCTCGGTAAAGAAATGGTCCCTAAGATCCAGTCTAAACATCCCCTGGCACAGCTTTGAACCATTCCCACGCATCCTGTCACT